GCCGTCGCTGCACCCCAAGCAGCCTGGAAGGGGCGCTCAGCACAGGGGCGAAGCTCCGCGCCCTGACCCTGCGGCTCCCGTCCAAGGCAGGGAGCTCTCTGCCCCTCCCGCACCCCCCGCCCAGGGGTGGGGGCTGTGTTCCCAGCAGGGTCGGCTGCACACATGGGGTCATGGCCCAGGCCCCCACCCGGTCCCAGAGGCACCGCCCTGCTCGCCCCACACCCTGCACAGCCCTGCCCTGGCCCAGAACCGAAAACAGGAAATCTACCCGGAAAGGAACTGCCGGGCGGGGAGCTGCTTTGATCAAACGGCTTCCATGCCAGATGTGACCTCGCAGGCCTGTCCTCGCCTGCCAGGGAGAAACAGGCCTAGAGTTCACTCGACTGGACTGAGACCCGGATGCGGGGGGGTCATGTCAGGCCGACACCCCCCAATGCCTGGGCGCCCCCCAGTACAGTCAGCAGGAACCCCCCGACCTAGCTGGGGCACAACCTGGAGGTGGGGTGATGGTTTCACTTTGGGGGCTGGTCGATGGCCCGCCTGTCCCTCGCGCTCCGGGGAACGTGGTCGCCGGGTGCTGATGGGCAGTGGTGGCTGGACGCACGGGGCGAGGCTGCCACTGCATCAGGCACTCTGGCCTCTCTGCGCCGCACTTGGGGGGTGACCCCAGCTGGCGGAGACGCCCCAGGCTGGCTTTGCTCGACCTAGCTCAGGCGGCACCTGCCAGAGCGGCCCTGCCCCTGGGCCCCAGGCTAGCCAGACTCGGCCTCCCCACGCCAGGCACCCCCGCCTTGGCACACGCAGCGGCACGCTCCGCCCCAGCCCCGCCAAGCGCTTTGCAGATGGTACAGAGACTCGCTTCCCGGTACAGGATGGAGCTAACCGCACGCTGCCTGACTCCGGCCCAGCGAGGCAGCTCCTGCCGGCGGTTACGTGAGCCTTGCTCGAGGGCAGGAAGAGGCAGCCTCACGTCTCAATGCACAGCCCAGCCCAGGGAAGCTCTCGGAGGCGGCTCAGGGAACCGAGGCTCCTGCCGAGATGAGAAGGGGCCGGTCCTGGACACTGCAGCTGTCCATGCTGCAGAGGAAAGACACGCCCTGGCAGCCAGGGGCAGTACGGGGCGCATGGCCCCGTGCACCACTGAGGCACAGGTGCCCAGCGTGGCTCTCACCGCGTGCCCCCGTGGCCGGAGGCAGCAAATGCATCACAACAGCACAGGGCGAGTGGCACGCCCGGTCACGCCTGCCAGGCCAGGCACAAGACAGATGCTTTCGCAGGAGAAGCCGACACCGCTCAGCCAATCACACGGGCCAAAACAACCCGGGACGTCCCCTCCGGGTCGCCCTCGGGCACTAGGGGCGGTGCCAAATCCCTTCCAAAACACCAGCTCCCTGTGCTCCCCGGCACCATGCTGGGCTCTCTCCGGGCTCCGATGCCGTACCTGCCACAGCTCCATGGCCAGTGACCTGCCGCGCGTAGGGCCCCGGCCGGGTTCGCTGCTTTGGCCTCCGAGGCCCCGTGAGCCGATCAGGCACCGAGCTCTGGGTAACTTGCTTAGTAATCTTGTGGGACGTTCCCTTAAGCAGCCGGTGGCTCCCCCGCCCGTTCATACCCCGTTGGGTTTGGCTGCTGGGTGGGGACCATGAGACACAGAGGAACTGAAAGCAGTCGAGTTTCGGCCCTGGGAGGCTGGGGGCAGGTCTGCATCTCAGGCCGTGCTGCTGGGAAGACACATGCGTATGTGACGAACTGGGACTGTTCTTACGGTGGTCTTTGAATGCTGACAGGGGAGTGTGGCTAGGATAGTCTGCATTGGGGGATGGGAGACTGGCTGACGGAGAATACCTGAGCATCTAACATGAGAACCCAGGAAGGGGTTAGAGGCCAGGTGACATCTTTGCAGGGCCTTGTGTCCCCCCACACTCCGTGACAACTGGTGGCAGAGGTGGGATCTACTGCACCCCGTGGACGGCGCTTCCTGCAGTAAGTGACTGGGGAGCAGTAAAACGAAGGGGGATCGACGGGGACCAAGGTGGGCTGAAGAGTCAGAGAGAGACGGTTCAGGGGACGATTAACCCCTGGGAGTGTGTGACCAGTGAGAAGGACTTTTGCAGTAACAGGGTCCACCGGGGGATTGCAGTGAGCGGTCCCGGGACGGAGGAGTCTGCCGCTCGACCCTGGCAGAGAGGGGGTGACCTGAAGAAGGGATGGCACACTGGGGTCTCCCGGGAATGGTGGAAAGCCAAGAGCACAGGCCGGCGAGTGGCCAGCAGGAGGATGGATGCTAAACGCCTTAAGAGCGACCTGGTGGAGCTGTGCAGGCAGAGGGGGCTGCGCATTGGGAGGTCCACCAAAGAACAGCTCATTGCCCAGCTGGAGGAGAGGGATCGCTTGGATGAACCGAGCCCTGTCCCTGAGGGAAGCCGTCCGGCGGATGCAGCGTGGGCCCCGGGGCCTGACATTGCTGGGAGGGGTCAGACTGCTGCCAAGGACATCCCGAGACCCTGCCTACCTATGCCTAGGGGAGGGGTTGGGGGAAGCCCAGCGAATACCGAGGGCCCCCTGACCCCGGCGGCCAGCAGGGGATCGTCCCGGCGGAGCTCCCCGTCCCGGGAGCGGATGCGACTGGAATGTGACAGGGAGCTGAGACGGGAAGAGCTCGAGTTAAGGCAGCAAGAACTGAAGCAGGAGCAGGAAGAGAAGGAGAAACAACGTCAGCATGAGCTGGAACTGGCCAGGCTGAGGAGCAGTGGGGCCCCGGCTGCGGTGAGCGAGGGGGGACCCAAGACTGCAAAGAGCTTTGATCAGTGCTTCCTGGCCCAGCGTAAGGAGGGGGAGGACATGGATACCTTCCTGACGGCCTTTGAGAATACCTGCGAGCTGCTCCAGGTTGACCCTGCAGACAGGCTCCAGTTTCTCATCCCCTCACTGGACCCCACAGCCAGGGAGGTGTACAGCCGACTGAAAGGGGCGGAGACAAGGGACTACGAACTGTTCAAAAAGGCCCTGCTCCGCGAGTTTGGGCTGACTCCTGAGATGTACCGGAAAAGGTTCCGGAGTCAGCGTAAAACCCGTGAGGTCACATACCTACAACTAGCCAACCGGGCGCAGGGGTATGCCCGCAAGTGGACAGCTGGGGCCCAAACTATAGAGGACCTGCTTGACCTAGTCGTACTGGAGCACGTGTATGAGCAGTGCCCATCCGACCTGAGGCTGTGGTTGATGGACCAAAAGCCAGAGAACCCGCAGCACACAGGCCAGCTGGCCGACGAGTTTGTGAACAGTCGGGCAGGGGATAACAGGGAGGAGTCCCAAAGGAACAGGCCCGCCACAACGCAGAGAGAGAGTGACCATGGGACCTCCCAGCGGGGAAATATGGAGAACCCCCACCAAAGGGGAACATCCAGCATCAGGTCCATCCGACCCACTCAAGGGGACCCATGGGACATGGGCTGCTATCACTGTGGCCAAAGGGGCCACATACGGGCCCAGTGCCCCAGGCTCAGGGACAGACTGAGCGGACCCAACCCACAGAGGGTTGACTGGGTAGAGACCCAGCCCGGCGAGAGGCAGCATTCCCAGGGAAGGGGGGCTGGCAGAGTACCACCTGCTAAGGAGGGAGGAAAGCTCCAGGCCAGCTGCTCTAGGGGGCTGGATGCTCCAGACTCAGGGTTTCTGGTTTACAGGGTAGGCACGGGGCGGTCCCTGCGGAGCGAGTACCTTGTTCCCCTGGAGGTGGATGGGAGGAAGGTCATTGGATACTGGGATACGGGCGCAGAGATGACGCTGGCCCGGCCCGAGGTGGTGGCCCCAGATCGGGTGGTGCCCAACACCTACCTGACCCTGACGGGGGTGGGCGGAACACCAGTCAAAGTGCCCGTGGCAAGGGTACACCTGAAGTGGGGGGCCAAGGAGGGCCCCAAGGACGTGGGGGTACACCCGTATTTGCCCACTGAGGTGTTGATGGGGGGTGGTGGTCAGGTCTAGTGGGGTTCCTGCCCTGGGGGCACTCGAGCACTGTAGACGTTTACTGCTGCCCCGCGAGGCCTGTGCTGGGTGCTGGCCCAGGGCGATCCCGACGGGCCTGGTCCGAGTACTTGGCCTTTCTTCCAACCAGACGCCCACTCCTCCCAGAACTGCCCTTCCAGCCCTCACAGCCGGCCCCTGCGTCGGGGTCTTTGCCGAGGACTGAAGGTGCCACGTGGCTCCCGCTCCGCATTGGGGGAAGCTCCCAAACCCGCCCAGGAAAGAGGAGAGACCCACTGCCCAGTTCCTGCCAGGCGCCCCCAACACCACGTGACAAACGCTGCCCCCCACAATCCAGGCCCTGCAGGCCCAGCCAGCTCATCCGGCCTCGGACAAAGGCAAGTGCCAAGAGGAAAGGAGGTGCCCGGCCCCCCGCAGAGGCGAGATTGGCCGGCTGCGTGCGGGGAACCCAGCGAGGCAGGAGCCGGGATCCAATTAGGGTGAAGGACATTTGCTCTAGAGCCATCTTGGCGTCAGCTACGTGACGTGGCCATGGGGGCTGCTTTGTCGTTCTACCCCCAACTGCCCCTGCCAAACACCCCTTCTGCAGCCCCGCCCTCGCCCGGAGCTCCAGTCCCCCAGGCCGACTCCAGAGCTAACCTTCGCGCGGGGTCACGGGCACAGAGACCCAGTCCAGCGTTGGGGCAGGGCCGGGGCAGAGTCTGGGCGCGGGATGCAGCCGTCCCTCATGCCAAGGCCCGAGCCGCAGTGGCTCTTGGGAGGAGGGCACAGCAGCTGCCTCCGAACGGGCACCAGCAGGAAAAGCACGAGCCTGACGGGGCGGGTGGAGGCCTGGGGCAGTTGCATTGAGCAGAGCTTCTGCCTTGTGACCCCAGCCCCCAAAGAGCAAGCGGCGACGAGCTGTGTCACACAGCGACTGGACTCCTCTTCGCCCCATCCCACCATCTGGAGGAGAGCACACCTGGGATCAGGGCAGAGACAAGCCCAGCATGGAACTAACCCGTGGAACTCACAGCTGCAGGAGATCGTCAAGGCAAGGGGACCAGGGTGCCCAGGCATTCAGCGGGACTCAGAGAAGGGATTCGATTCAAAGGCCAGAGGGGACAGTTACGATCCTCAGTGTGACCGTCAGGGCGCAGACAGCAATTCCTGCCTCTTGTCCGTACGACCCTCCCGTAGATCCAGCCAGTTCCTGCAGCACCGCTAGCTCAGAGAAGACGCACAGTCTCTGCACGCCCAGCCGCAGGGACGATCGCTGGCTGCAGATGGCACCACCCCGTATAGATATGCCCCCCGTTGCCCCGACGGCCAAGGGCCTCTCCAAGGGAGACTCTCGGGCCACCAGTAAGATACTCTGTGGGCATTTTTCCTCTCCAACGTCTTTGGCTGCAGGCTAAGGGGCGCGGGTCCCTGGTAGGTTTACACTGGCATCAGTGGTGGAATCTCTGATCTGAGGACATCCGTGACTCAGCCAGAGGTGAGGGGTCAATTGCAAGAGGGGTGGGCGAGGTTCTGTGGCCTGCGACAGGCAGGAGGTCAGACAAGATGATCACAGGGTCCCTTCTGGCCTTACAGTCCATGAGCTGGCCCATGGGTCATTCCAGGCCCTGCTACGTCTCCCAGACTCGGGGAAATCAACCCAGCAAGCAGCTGGCGGGCGGAAAACGAGGGCAGAGCTGCAAACGGTTCTGGCTGCGGGCACCGCTGGGGAACCTCGGCCAGCGCAGCCGGAGCCGCGGCGTTCGGGGAGCCGCTCCCGGTCCATTTCACGCGCCCTGCCTTCCCACCCACAGCGCGCTCACAACCGTCCCACGAGGGCCCTGGGAAGACAATGAGGCTGCTCAGTTGCCTGGAGAACGGGGAACAATCGCGCTGTAATTGCCCTGTACGTACATTACGAAGATCGCGAACGCTCCCTTTGCCAAGACAACGCGGTGCTCAACAAAGGAGGCGTGGGCCGGGGCCAGCAGCACGGGGAGCAGCCCACACGCCAGGTATTAATAGAACAGCAGCAATTTCAGCTTAAAATAGGCTGTGAGAAGAGAGGAGGCGGGCTCTGGACAAAGGCGACCTATTGCACGGCCCAGCAATGGTGACGCAGGCACAACTGGGGGACAGATTTAGAAATACACGTGCGAGTCGCCACCCCCCAGCTCCGGCGCATCCCCAGGACCGTCCTCGCCGGGGGCACATTCAGACCCTCCCTCGACCTTCCAGCAAGAGACTTCCCCTGCGAGCGAGTGCCCAGAGGTCAGGCAGGGAGCCACTCGAACGTTCCTCCTTCCACGGGGACGCACCAACCCACCAAGAAAAAGGGGGTGAAGCCCCCAGAACACAGAAGCAACGTCCCCTCCCCATGCACAGCCCTCAACGTCACTGAACAGAGCCGCTCCTAACCCCAGCCCTGGGGCCACGGGACGCCAGGCGACTGGGGGCTGCCAGGGGGCCTGTGCATGGCAAGCCAGGGGGGCATCACCCAGACAGGCCCTGTCCCAAGGCGCGTACAACCCGGCAATGGTGCTGTGCGCACCTGGCTGAACTCCGAGCCCAGAGCGTCAGGGGCCAGCCCCCGGCCTGAACCCAACGGGTCGGCCCGGGCCAGGCCTTGTGCGCCTCCCCAGACGGGTCGCAGCCAGACCCAGCAGGTGCCGAGACAACCCAGTCCACCAGCTGCCCTGAGACCTGGAGCTGCCCCTCTCCCCCCGGCACGAGATAAACACGGACACCCGGGGTGGGGACCCTTGGGAGCTGGATGAAGACCCACAGTGCAAGGCCCCCTCCCCTGCTCGCAGGTACAGCGAGGTCAATCCAAAGCCAATCCGCATTGACACCCCATGGGGCCCAGCGCCTTCTAGACAGATACCAATGGGGGCCCTGGGCCCTGCCCCCAGCCTTTCTGAGCAACTGGGAAGCCCCCCACAGCTCAGCATCACCTAGAGACCAGGCTGGATGGGAACAAGTGAACAGCCCCCCCTGCCCCCCACCGCTCCCCCAGGCCCCCTCGCCCTGCCTGCCTCCCCCGGGGGCGCGTGGGGACACCCACCAGCCAGCTCCCCCCGTCGCTTTCTGCCCCAGTCAGGCCCAATGGTGGAGCCGTTTACCCAGGGGTGGGGGCTGGGGCAGGACCCCCCCGTTTGGTGGGGGAGGGGTATCTGGAGGCTATCAGTGAGCTGAGGGGGGTTAGCCTTAGGGAGGGGGAGACATGTAGTGAAGGACCAGAGGGAAACAGGAGCTGGGGCAGGGGCTCTGGATGGGGGGATCCCCAGAGGAAGGGGGGTCCCTGGTCCCATCCAGCAGGGAGGACGAGGGGGGGCAGAATAGGGGGGGGCAGGCAGGGTGCGGGAATAGTGGGCAGCGGTGCCAGGTGAGCAGGAAAGATGTGTGTGGGGGGGGTGATGAGGATCCTGCCTGGGTGCAGGGGGGTGGGAAGTTTCCTGGCGGGGGGAGGTGGGTGATGGGGGCCCCAAGGTCCCAGCCGGGGGATGGTATGTAGGTCCCAGGGTCCGGGGGGGGGGCAGCTAATGCAGGTCCCAATCCGGTGGGGGAGGGGGGATGCAGGTCTGGGGGGGATGTGTGGC